TATGACGATAGATACCAACCATCCTCTTCTGATAAAATTATGAAACTTGAAGATCCGGATGAAAAATATAAACGGATAGATGATTATTCTCAGGATAAAGCTAAAAAATGGCTCGAAGATTATGTAAATGGATTGAATGGAGTTACTCCTCAAATGATTACTGCTCGTGGACCTGAATATAAACGTGCCTACAAAGAGGCTATAAAAGAAGGAAGAGTAATGTTATCTAAAAAGATAGGAAATACATACGAAGTTCTTCAAGGTGATTGGGTTAATTATGAATATTTTATAAATGACGATCCAGTCTCTAAAATATGGGAAAATTTAGTAAAGTATATTGAAACAACAAAAAGAAAGGAATTAAATATCGAAAAAGCGGTACATACGGAAATTATAGTCGATGAAACCATTATAAATTCTATATGCTCTAATCTTGCAAATCATATCAATGATATTAGAAAAATTGCTATAAAATACAATCCGTTCTTCCATAAGTTGGTATATCATCTGAGATATAAAGAACATATAAAAATTCCGAATAAGATAGGTGCCTTCGAAACAATGCAAAAAAATGAGATAATTATTGAGCGACCAACTTTACCTTATATATCAGAAGCTGAACGATTAATACTTGAAAGTTTTCGAAGTACATGGGATGAATCAGTTAATATATTATATACATCATATGAAATGAAAATATAAGACTTGAGGTAACTCACCGGAATTGGATATTGATGAAATCATTGACCTATGTTATTAAGTATTCACTAATACCCCCATATTAGCGATACTTATACTAATACAATAATAATTCCAAGTTTCGATCACGCCCGGTTTCACTTTTTTTTAGCCGTACTAACTCCGCTATTTGCATTCAAAATAGGTCGAATAAATCTAACCAATAGAATAATAATAATTAATAAAATTAACATCAGCCATAGATTTTTCGGCGAACCTAATACACTTGTCATAGCAGGAATTGCTTCTATTCCTCCCACTGAAATCTCGGAATTCGATTTATCCAAAGAGGAGTTGGGAATATTTTCACCTGAAACGTTTATCTGTTTTGCAACTTGTAGAGTCACAATTCCTTCGGGATTCATATTCTTCATTGGCTCGATATTTTGTAATGTATCATATAATTCCAAATTTTGATCGTCACCATTGGTAACGGTTTTTGAATCACGTCTCAAATTGGATCGTTCTGAAGTTACTTCTGGTATTTTATCCGTGTTAGCTTCGTTATTTTTTTTCATAATATCTTTACGTATATATTTACTAAAATTCATTATAGGTTTGTTAACTGCAAAGATATCAGCGGAATTTGGTATATTTTTTCCATCTGTTTCACCGCCGATCTTAACCGTTTCTAATGACAACTTTGTTTCTAAAGAGTATATCTCTGAAGTTTTCAAGGCTAAATCATCTTTCATTCGTTTCAATTCATCATCTTTTGAAATCAATGCATTTTCCATATGCGCCAATTCACTATTTTTTGAAACTAGATTAGAATTTAAAGCAGATAATTCGGTCCTAAGGGTG